GAGAGAGAGAGAGAGAGAGAGAGAGAGAGAGAGAGAGAGAGAGAGAGAGAGAGAGAGAGAGAGAGAGAGAGAGAGAGAGAGAAAAAAAAAAAAACTCGAAGGCAGTGAAGTCGAATGCCAACCCCAACCAGCGAATGTGAGAAGACTGACTGCTGCACCATTTTTCTGTGGTGGAGCGTAAAAAAACAACCACTTCGAATTCAATTTTTTGTCGCCACTGCTGCAAGGGGATCATGGAAAGATGCATACCCCTTGTGAGGGCATTTCGAGGATGGATCGACGAAATGCCACCAGTGGTCCAGTAAGGGCATAGTGGAAAGTTATGCCCCATGCTGACAGGGGCATGCGGAACACTTCAGAGGCCCAAGGGGCACGACAAGGTAAGTCGGCAGTTAGAGGGGCATGCCGCAAATTAATCGAACTTTAGGGGCATTTCAAAAAAAATCTTTTTTTTATTTCCTGCCATTAAGTCAAATGTGTTGTGGGCTGGGTACGCAGACAAACTGGCCCAGAGCCAGCGGGGAGTGTCATGCAGGCCAGTTGTGGGAAAGAGGTCGGGCACCGCTCGCAAAGTGGGATCGAGGGCCAAGTCCCACTGCCAGCGTTGAGTCTTCTCAACGCTTGAACCTGTACGTGTTTATGAGAGAAAAAAAAATAAAAAAATAGTGCTTTCGTCAAACGCACTTCTCCGCAACACGTCCAAATTTATGCATTGAGGAAACTCAACGCTGTCGGAGTAAACACCCGTACAAGGGTATTTGCTCATGTTTTTGCAGTCGACGCAACATCGACTTTAATTGCAATGACGAAGTCGGTCTCGACTTAAAAGTGTACGCGTTTTTGACGCAACACTTTGAAACGATTTCCTCGACCATTGAGGCCGGGCCAAATCAGTGAGAAAATTTTATTAAGTATGCGTTCGCATTATTGTGACACGCGCTCTGATGGTTAGAATCGGTAGTAATACTCTTCGATCGAAAAGACCGAGGGTCGATTCGATTAGATGTATGATAGGTAAATCTACAACGCATAGTGAGACTTAATCATCAATACATTAGTCAGGATAAATTAATATACGCACCGACCAGACGGTCAGAACGATTATTAGTGTGTGATCATCAGGGTTGAGGTAGCACCCAAATTGCTAACGCTTGCTCGAACGGTACCTCTATCCTTACTCGTATGTCGTGAGTAAGGTTGAGGCTCTAGCTCAGCCTCCCATATGTAGAGAGGAAGTTGCCTCTTGGGCGGTGATTTCCTAACCACGTGGCCACCCAAGCAATCGGTGCCTCCGTCCCTTTCAAATGGAAACATCATTGTGGAACTCTGATATCGCTCGCACATGCCTTAGTCAGGCTACTAAGTCTTGAACTGGTATCCGCCTACCTAACGGTACTGGGCCTCTAAAAATGTCAACTATTGTCTTCATTTGCTTAGCCTTGAGCACTCCTACTTGGTGTGGTACCGACCTGCCTGCTATTTGAGTAATTTTTCGTTGCTCGTAAGTGTCGCGGACCTCTTTCCTCGCCATTTGAGTGTTTCCCCGCTGCAACCTTCAATGTCACGGCCACAGGTAAGTACTAACCCTTCGGGCCTCCCGATCGATCAAGTGCCCTTACGGGTCACACACACACTCCGACCGACGAACACTCAGACAAGCATGCAGACTTAGAGACAGGCTCAGACCATTGGTTAGGATAAATTGTGTTACTGTATTTGTATCTGGGGTGCTCCACTTTTACCGTAGTAAGAGCTAGCTCAGTAGGTTTAAGGGCAGACCGATAAGCAGGAGACATAGGGATTCCATATGCCCCAGTCTGAGCTAGCTCCTTTTTTGCTATAAGAGACTTCGGTCGACGGGGGCTTGAACCCGTAACCTCGAATTCATAGTTAGTTAGAATTAGTAGTACACTTAGCCCTGTTGAAAACGAGGGCATTACACTTGGCAGGTAATGGTATTTGGTGGCTAGAATGGTAGTTGGTGGTTAGATTCGCTTTTTTTTTTCCCCCCTCTTTGATCCCGGAGCTACTCTCCATTGATTCCCTTTTAGTGAATTCGCCTTTGATAAACGGCCAGATTCGTTTCCACGAAATCTGCTCTACTTCGAGCATGGCGTCCGAAACTTTGGTCCTCGTGCTCGGGCTGAGCACTCGTCGAAGGAAACAACGTGTGCGTAGCAGCGCACAAACGAAGAGCGTAGCAGAAAAACGAGAGGGGGATACCGAGAAAAACAAAAGAGAAAAGCGAGCGGAGGCAGAAGTGGAACGCGCGGGGAGAAGAAGAAGAAAAAAAAAAAAAAAGAAGCAGAAAATAAAGGGTCGAGAGGACCACTTACCTCGACCTTGCAAGTCGATGATGGTGATGTTTCGGGCGTGGGTTTTAGGACCTTGTACGTGAGTTACGAGGGACTCTCTGCACGCGCTTTGGGTGGTTTCCAATTTGCGAGGGTGGAGGCTTGCAGTTGTGTGATGCGTCCGTCGATAATATCGCAAGGTTGAGTAGTCATCCGCTTGACTTGTTGGAGTGGACGCTTGCGCATGTCGTGTATCTGTCCTTTCGTCTCAGTATGCTGCTTACAGTAGCAGATCGTGTTGCATCGCGGACAGGTGTCGCGCAACGAACAACGCCGCCTCAACACCATCATCTCCACCGCCAACTCATCTCGTTTCCACCTCAAATTCATCGCTGCCACCCTTGGTGCGTCTACAACTAAGTT